TTTATATTGTTTGTATTTTCATACTGTATGTTGTCAGAGTTTATGAACCGTGGCTTCTACAAAGAATATTTCTCAAAGCTGAGTTTTTTTTTCCTGCAGTTTCCAGTGACAGGTGATAAATGGTTACGGTATGGGAATCTATCTGCTGCATCAACACATCGGAAATGGGATCTCCGAAAGATAACAAATTACAGTGAGTCTGCTGTGATTCACAGAGAACTGGTGCCATGGTGATCCTTCTCTCTGATGGTTCACTGACATAACTTCCAGCGCAGGGACTGGATGTGAGGCACTGGACTTCTGTCATGTTTGGGCTGCAGCATACAGTGAGCCCCATGAATCATATGGGAAAACTACAGAAATTTCACAATTTGTATCCTGTTCAAACAGTGAAGGAAAAGTGTTGGTGGGAAATAACAGAAGCTAAAGTTTCATAATGGTCCTTCATGAATTTTTTACATTTCTTTTTAGGAGCAATAGAATTGAAAAGCTACTGCAAGTGAACTGGCCACACTGTTGATTGTAGCACTTCACATGTGAGTAGTGATGAAACTGATAAGAAAATGAGCACCGACATCTGCCAGAGCTGGAAAGTTGTTGGTTCACATAGATTGTTTAGCCTATACCGTTGAATGGATAGAGCATATTTGTTTAGAGCATGCCCCGTTTTATTCATGTATTCATTTTGTGGATGCATTTTTTTTGTGCCTACGCAGCAATATTTTTGTTCGGCCTTCCTCCTGCATCCTCTGCTCTCTGGGAAGTTATTTACATTTATAAAGTTTGTTTACTTGCTCTTCCCAAAATGCCTCAGTAGTTTTGCCTCTGAGGGAAGAGACACAGCATTATTTGTATATCATTATTTATTTATATTTTTTCATTATTAAAATTTTTTTTTTTGCATTACACAAATCCTGAATTGTTTGCATAGAGGACTAAATATTAAAATCAGTTCAGACATGGTATGTGTCCGCAGGGGAAACGTGCACCATGGTCTACTCATTCAGAAGTCTCGATCGATATCCATATGCATATTGGCAGAATCGTGTTATAGGAAGTATACACTTAATTTACATTCCTCCAGAACAGCGTTAACCCCGTCTACCCTAAAGCCATCCCTGTAATGACATTGTGCTACAGTCAGAAAGAAAATTAAATAGGCCTACCATAATCTTTCACATTTGTTCAACCTCACTGCTGACAAGCGAAGCCAGAAATAAATTGGCTTTATTTTGGTGAACAACATGTCTCCCTAAGGAAGAAATACAAAGACTATGGCAACACTGATGAGAAAATAGCTTTTGATCAAAACAGCTTCCTGCCTATACAGCAGTTCAATAAACAAGAATTTGAGTAACTTACATTTTTAACATAATATTATTAACAGCTACTTTGTGTAGATTAAGGAATATAGTTTGTAATAAGCAGGGAATAAAGAAAAAGAAAGAAAAACAGTAAAAGTAATCCATTTTAACTATCTGCAAAACTGTAATTGAGTAGCTTTTTTGTGTACTTCTACTTTTTAAAGTAATTTTTAAAATCTGTAATTTTACTTTTACTTAAGTATATTTTGTTTGAAGTATTGTACTTCGCTACATTTTAAAACACATTAATTACTGAGTAAAAAAAAAACCCTGGAAACTACTGCAGTAAATAATGGGCAGGAGTACAAACTGGTGCTAAAATCACGAGAAAGATGGAGACGGATAAGACAGGCGTTTTGGTGCAGACCCAGCTGAAAACGAAACCCCGTCGTTTTCTGCTGAAGTTGAACTGGAAGGAAATGAAGTGAACCCCTGGCCATATGCTCTATTACGCAGTGTAAACTGTGTTTGCCTAGGGAGACCAAACTAGCAGCTTATAAAATCTCGACATCAACCCTTTGCAAGCATGTAGAGGTAAGGTAAATACTTGCATCGTTGCATTGGTGGTTAAAAT